GAAAATCCTTAATTTTTTTTTTTTAACAATAAGGAAAATCCCTTTTGTTTTGGAGAAGAAAACTCCTTATTTTGTTTCAGAGGAGGAATATCCTTGGCTGTTTGGGGGTTTTTTGGTTTGGTTTTTTGTTCTGGAGGAGGAAATCCTTAATTTTTTTAGTTTTAGGGAAGGAAAATCCCTAATTTTTTTTTTTTTAGCAATAAGGAAAATCCCTTTTGTTTTGGAGAAGAAAACTCCTTATTTTGTTTCAGAGGAGGAATATCCTTGGCTGTTTGGGGGTTTTTTCGTTTGGTTTTTTGTTCTGGAGGAGAAAATCCTTAATTTTTTTAGTTTTAGGGAAGGAAAATCCTTTTTTTTTTTTTTTAAACAATAAGGAAAATCCCTATTGGTTTTTGTTTTGGAGAAGAAAAATCGTTATTTTGTTTCAGAGGAGGAATATCCTTTCAGAGCAGGAATATCCTTGTTTGAGGGGTTTTTTGGTTTGGTTTTTTGTTTTGGAGGAGGAAGATCCTTAATTTTTTTTTGTTTTGGAAGAGGAATATCCTTTTGTTTTGGAGGAGGAAAAGCCTTAATTTTTTGTGCTAGGGAGGAAAATCCTCATTATTCTTGTTTTGGAGGAGGAGTATCCTTAATTTTATTTGTTTTGAAGGAGGTAAATCCTTTTTATCTTTGCTTTGGAGGAGAAAAGCCCCCCTTCTTTTATTTCCAAGACTGCTTTGTAGCTGACAGAGCTGCTGTGGGTACCAGCCCAAAACAGCTGAACTGGGGAGTGAGTCCTTGCATGGAGCTCCCAGTGTTTGGGCAGCAGAGCTGTTCCCTGCTCTGTCCTGAGCAGGGCTGTGATTCCCTGGATCCCTGTGCTGGTTCATTCCCTGGTTTCTGTGCTGGTTCATTCCCTGATTTCTGTGCTGGTTCATTCCCTGGATCCCTGTGTGCTGGTTCATTCCCTGATTTCTGAGCTGGTTCATTCCCTGATTTCTGTGCTGGTTCATTCCCTGGATCCCTGTGCTGGTTCATTCCCTGGTTTCTGTGCTGGTTCTTTCCCTGCTCCCTGTGCTGGTTTATTCCCTGGATGTTGCTTATTCCAATACCTGGATCTCTGTGCTGGTTCATTCCTTGATTTCTGTCCTGNTTCTTTCCCTGCTCCCTGTGCTGGTTTATTCCCTGGATGTTGCTTATTCCAATACCTGGATCTCTGTGCTGGTTCATTCCTTGATTTCTGTCCTGGTTCATTCCCTGCCCCTGTCTTCAGCAGGGCTGTGATTCCCTGGATTTCTGTGCTGGTTCATTCCCTGCCCTGTCCTGGTGCTGGTTCATCCCCTGATTTCTGTGTGGGTTCATTCCCTGCTCCAGTCCTGAGCAGGGCTCTGATTTCCTGGTTCATTCCCTGGTTCATTCCCTGGTTCATTCCCTGCCCCTGTCCTGAACAGGGCTGTGGTTCCCTGATTTCTGTCCTGGTTCATTCCCTGGTTCATTCCCTGATTTCTGTCCTGGTCCATTCCCTGGTTCATTCCCTGGTTCATTCCCTGGATCATTCCCTGATTTCTGTCCTGGTTCATTCCCTGGAACATTCCCTGATTTCTGTCCTGGTTCATTCCCTGGAACATTCCCTGATTTCTGTCCTGGTTCATTCCCTGGATCATTCCCTGGTTCATTCCCTGTCCCTGTCCCTGGATCATTCCCTGATTTCTGTCCTGGTCCATTCCCTGGTCCATTCCCTGGTCCATTCCCTGGATCATTCCCTGGTCCATTCCCTGGTCCATTCCCTGGATCATTCCCTGGTCCATTCCCTGGATCATTCCCTGGATCATTCCCTGGTCCATTCCCTGGTTCATTCCCTGGATCATTCCCTGATTTCTGTCCTGGTTAATTCCCTGGTTCATTCCCTGATTTCTGTCCTGGTCCATTCCCTGGATCATTCCCTGGTTCATTCCCTGGATCATTCCCTGATTTCTGTCCTGGTTCATTCCCTGGATCATTCCCTGGTTCATTCCCTGTCCCTGTCCTGGTCCATTCCCTGGTCCATTCCCTGGATCATTCCCTGGTTCATTCCCTGATTTCTGTCCTGGTCCATTCCCTGGTTCATTCCCTGTCCCTGTCCTGGTTCATTCCCTGGTTCATTCCCTGATTTCTGTCCTGGTCCATTCCCTGGATCATTCCCTGGTCCATTCCC